ATGCCGAAAGAGGCCATTTGACAACTTTCAGCACCGAAACTGAAACTGAAACCGAATTTCGGTCGGCCTCTATATAGATGTGTAAGTCACGTGTGACTGTGTATATATGCATGCTTGTGTCCCGCTATGCTGACTTAGATGGTGTGGATATTGAAATTATCTATGCAGTTGAATCTTTCTCTGCCACATTTATCTGCAGAATTGGTCTGATGGAGGAAAGACACTCAGCACAGCTCAAGACAAAAAACACCAGTGCGACCAGTGTCCTTACTGCATGGATCACACTGGACACTTGAATCAGCACCAGAGAACACACACAGGAGATAAACCCTTCAAGTGCACTCTGTATGGGAAAGCGTTTGCAAGTCCTCAAATTTGATTTGAAGCTTTCGTGACTGCAGGAATTACTCTTTGGTTCTTTCGGTAAAGTTACGTAGAAAAAAATTAAATAGAAAAAAAACTTGAATCCATTCTAGATTTGAAGTTTTTGTGACTGCAAGGATTTCTACTCTTTGTTTTTTTTGGTAAAGTCACGTAGGTAAAACATTTTACTTAAATCCTCCACGTAGAGGTGGTTTAAACTTTATTTGAAGCTTTCGTGACTGCAGGAATTAATATTCTTGGTTCTTTCGGTAAAGTCACGTAGATCGAAAATCAAAAAAATTATGAAGACCGTTTGCATTTTGATCGAAACGTCGTGGGTTTTTTTCTTTTGTTACTTTGAAAGTATTATTTTTATTTTTCATTTTTCATTTTCTTTTTTCTTTTATTTTCGATCTACGTGACTTTACCGAAAGAACCAAGAATATGAACTCCGTTGTGTAATTTCTGAATGTTTGGAATGACCCAAATTTTGACCGTGACACCAACATGCAATGACCGATGCGTTTTGAATGACAATAACACGTTTAACATCCACTGATAAGCAGACGGTGCATATTTTTGTTCATGTTACTGGAGTAGCCAGGGGTGCCTGTCGGATTTGTACTGTGAACCTCTGCAATAAATAGAATGCGCTACCATAATCAACGTTTTTGGGTTTAGATCGCGTTTATTTATAAATGTGTCGTAACCCTCCACCACCCGACACGGCCAATCAGTAAAAATGTGTCACGTTGACAAAGACAAATAGTTCACTGCTTTAGCCCACCGGTGTGTTGAAGCTACAACATTTACACACCGGTGGGCTAAAGCAGTGAACTATTTGTCTTTGTCAACGTGACACATTTTTACAGATTGGCCGTGTCGGGTGGTGGAGGGTTACGACACATTTATAAATAAACGCGATCTAAACCCAAAAACGTTGATTATGAATAACATTGGTCGCGAAAGCCTACGTGTTAAACTGAATGCGCTACCACTTGGCTTCCCTCAATCTGAGTGTTGGCATGCCAGCCTGAATGTTTCTAACCGGAACAGATGTTCCATTTAGAGGGGTGTTGTATGTGTCGTATTATGAAATTTTGATCAAAATAATACAAATGAATAATTTTCCGAAAAATGTGTAAATTACATGAATTATGTTAATGTGTGTAATACAATGCATAAATTATGGTAATCACGGAGATAATCGTAGTAATTTATGCGAATGCTTGCGATTATGTTAATGTGTGCAGTTATGATAATTAGGCTTAGCTTCGTTATCCAGAGTTGTATCAATCGGGATAAAACGATTATCTTTGATTAAACATTTACTGATTATCTTAGTGTGTTTATGTTATGTTAGGTCTCCAAATTCATATCTCATCGCAGGTAACAGTTCTTATGAATAAGACAGTTTTGCATGGACTGGGAACGAAGCACTCGAACACTTGGTGTTAAGCAATTTCTAAACAAACATATGACACTCTTATATGCAAAGGCAAAAGTATGCGTCAATAGATTCATCGGCAAGATTATGCAATTAACGAAAATAAATGACTAAAACATTTCTTATTCATGTAACTCGACGGCAGCAACTGCTTTGCACGATCAGTTGATATTGAACGCACCACCTTGAAATGGCAACCCTTTTTGAAACAAAATATAACTTTTTGAAAGTCTTATTCGTGTGCGTGTTGTGTGTGCGTTGTCCCCTTGTAAAATTTATATTTTAAGCAGAGGCAGGGCGCTGTGTCGGAGCTTGTGGGGTGGGGGAGGGGAGATACAACCAGCGGCCAGAGAGGTTCCTCTCGCTTGGGCGTGGCCGCAGCGAGCCCGTTCTGCTTTCTCTCTCCACTGCTCGATTGAGCGGCGTTGGCACGATGCTCGCCATCGCGATGATTCCGTCGTCGGATACCGCGCAGCTCCTCCACGAGTCGGCACGACGCTCGGTGACGCCCGAGTCGTGCTGCTCGTGCGCTCTCTCTCTTCGCTGCTGGATGACGAGTTGGCACAACGCTCGCCGACATGGTGCGCGATAATTCCGTCGTCGCTGCTGGACGTCTTGTCTGTTCTCACTGGGTGTTGGTCAGTGTGTGTGTATCAAACACACGGAGCATTCGATGGCGCTCTCTCTCTCTCGCTTGGTGGCAGCTCCAGGCTTCTCCACTGCTGGATGATTGTTGAGTCGGCACGATGCTCGCCTTCGGGAGTACTTCTGCTGCTGTCCCTCTCTCCTTGATCGCTGCCAACTTCACACGGACACCCGCCCTTACTTCAGGCTGTGTTGACTCAGGCTCTGGACGACGCGGCTGTGCGCGCTCACCGGCTTGGAGCGCTCTGGCGATGAACGATGGCTCTTGTTGGTCATCCGCTGCTGCTCGTCCTTTTCGATGCTCACTTGGTCGACGCTTGGCGATTTCCGCCCTTTCTACAGGTTGATTGCTTGTTGTCACTCGTCACTCTCTCTTCTCCGTGCTTTCCTTTGTTCGTGCAGCTGCCAGCTTCACTCGCACTTAACCACACCTCGCCACTTCGTTCTGCGAGAAACGACACCGGCCGTCGGTGTCGGTGTTTGCTCCCTCACAACGCTCCGCCAGCCAGAGCACGGCTGAACCCAGCCTCGACCCAGGTTGAACTCAGATTTCTGCAACTCGAACGACCCCTCCTCGTTCCATCTCTCTTCGAGGCACGATTCGCCCCAGCTCCCCTGCGAGCCCCGTCGCAACGCTGCGTCGCAAGCCGAGTCCCGAGACTGAGCACGACTCGAACCAGACTGCACTCAGACTGTCACTCTAACGACCCCACGTCGTCCCATCTCTCCTCGAGGCACGACTCGCCCCAGCTCCCTTGCGAGCCCCGTCGCAACGCCGCGTCGCAAGCCGAGTTGCAAGACTGAGCGCGACTCGAACCAGACTGCTCTTCGTGATGTGCGCTTGTGCTTAAAACTCAAAACGTGAACACCCTCTCCTCTCTGCGCGTCTCTTGGTGACCCAGAGTGTGCTGTTTTACGTCAAGCCCATGTCTGTTTGTGTTTATAACCCAAAACGTAAAACAACCTCTCCTCTCTGCGAGAGAAAAACAAACAAGAAAACAGACCCCCCCTCTCGCGACCCTTTGAGTATTTATGGTGCCATCTGTCTGTGCCAGACCGTTGGAGACAAAGGTGGCTGAGGAGATTTTTTTTGCAATACATTTATGTGGTCCTGTGTGTTACATTTATTCTTGATATTTCTTATGAGTTCCCTCGGTCTTAGTATATCGTGGTTATTATTCGGTCTATGTTTAATGAATATTCGTAATGATCCTCGTTACATCATTATTTTGAGGGCTTTGCCAAGTTTGGTTATGCGTTTGTCTCCAGGGATTGGTGTTTATTCTGAGTTATATTTTAATGTCCTGAGGTTAAGTGTAACTAAGTTTCCACTTAAGCTTTCTGGAATTCGTATTCTTTAGTGTTTGGTAAGGTCATGTAGATAAAAACATACAATACAAATAATATATATGCGGTGAATACGAGTAATATAAGGGAATATCTAATAAAAAGCCCCTATTGTAGGCTGGTTGATTCTTTTGTTAATTTTCTACTTTTCGTTAAGGAAAACGTTAAAGAAAACGCGAGTTGCAACAGTTGTTTTTCTCTGCTCTGCACCTTATCCGTGCATCTCCAGACGTCTTGGGAAGGTTAGGCCATCGACCTTTTGTCCATCTGGATGTCTCTGACCTCTCTGTGCTCTGAAATCTTGACGTTTAATGGCCCTCCCCGTTTCACAGATTCCTGGTGTGCTTGTGAGTAGGGGCTGTTATCATTATTTAATTTAAAAAAAATATATAGATATAAAAAAAAACACAATAATTTTTTTTGCCTTATTCTTAATATTAAATTTTGGAAAACAGGGCATAGATACAACAGGGGTCCACGTTTCACATGCCTCTAGAAGGGAGGGCATTACTGTGGCTGAGAAGACACGAAGCACAGCAATGCACAGCTGATGAAAATGTCGCCCGACTGATTCGGATCGCCCACATACAGTGAAGACATACGCAGTGTGGACATGTATTGTGTACACACAATGTACACACACAGTGTGCCAACAGGGTGCACACACACCATGTACAGAGCGTACACACACTGTACATACACACAGAGCGTACACACACAGTGTACACAGTCTGCACATACGCAGACACATTAACAAGAACAACCGCCATTCGCCACTACGTGGCGGTGACGTCACCACTGCGCTTGTGCTAGGCTATGTGCATGTTTAGGCCACGTGAAGTGTCGAATAACCGCAGGCAGATCATAGGGCAGACTCAGGTGCCATGGGTCGACTGAGATAACTGGCCGCTGCACCACCTGTGCCTCCGACTGTGCCAACAGTGGACACACACATAGTGTATACACACAGTGTGTATACACACAATAATGTTCACGTTGTTGTCGTTGAGCTCACGCACCCAAGGAGTCAATGTTCAAGAGAAGGAGCAATGGAATAGGAATTTAAATAGACAAACTCTAACCCCGCCCTCTGACGTCATCACTTTGCATTACCTCATCGGCGTGAGACGCGAGGGGGCGGTGTAACCCGCAAGTGACGTCATGTCACCTCCTGTTGCCGCGTGACGTCACGAGATATCAGTAAGCTGTCGCTCCGCGCACGCTCACTGAGATTCGAGGTGAGAAGTTCACATCGTGGTTGTTGTTGTCGTGGTGGTCATAGTTGTTGTTGTTTACCCAGGTAGAGACTCGCTCCTTCTCTCTCTCTCGTAGGGATATCAATTGAGTAGCAGCGAGTATGGAATCGATGTCCAGGTGGAACATTACAACGCGGGGCCTTGCCTCCTGCCCTCGCCTGATTGCATTTGCTTTAATTCTCTGCTTAAGTTTAATCTGTCTTCATCTGGCTCACTACTTTGAAACTTTTTTTAATTTTAAATATTTCTAGAGTTTTTATTTATTTTACCAGGCCATGCCCACTTGAGCTATACTGCTCTTTTTCAGAAGCGACCTGCCCACAACAAAGTGGCTTATCAACGTGTGGAAATGTCTGCCGGTCAAATACTCTAAACGCGTGGTGATGTTGACTCCAAATGTGGAGGGAAAACCGGAGGATCTGGAGGAAAAATACTTTGAGTGAGTGTACTCTACTCTGTGTGTGAGAGTACTCTGTGTGAGTGTACTCGGTGTGTTAGAGTACTCTGTGTGAGTGTACTCTGTGTGAGAGTACTCTGTGTGTTAGAGTACTCTGTGTGTGTACTCTGTACGAGTGTACTCTGTGTGTGTACTCTGTGTGAGTGTATGTACTCTACTCGGTGTGGGTACCCTCAGAGTCGGCGCCTCCCCCTGTCTGGCGGGTGACGTCACCACGGGCAGACCGGAGAGAGGAGTTGGGGACAGCAGCAAGCGGTGCGCTTGGGGCGAGTGCTTGAGAGTGAGTCACGCGTGTAGAGTGTGTACAGAGCAAGGGAGTCAGTGTGTTTATTGTAATTTGTGTGTGATATATTGTGCTGTGGTGGCGAGATTTTAACTACCTCACATTGTATGAAGGATGTCGTGGGTTCGATTCCAACCCTGACGGCTTTATTATTTGTAGTTTACATTTTTTTCTCTCTCTCCACGTAGTGGCTTTGATTTTTCTCCACATTTAGAAACATGCATTTTGAGAATTTGGCTGAAATACATTTCCATATTATAAGCCACTAAGTTGAGCTATCATTTGTGTACAGGTCGAGTCTGAAAAAGAACTATGCAGCTCAGCGGAAACCCAGTGGAACACCAATGCCAACGGTGACGGCCGCCGCATTCTGGGGTGTTGTTGTCGGCATCTGCGTGGGGGTCACTCGCTCACCATTATCATGACAGTTTATTTGTGTTGGGACCACGTCGATTACACCCCTCTGTGGTCCCCTCTTTAGGGAGGCCTTGGTATTTAACCCTGGTGCTTCTCTCGCGCGGGCGATCTGGGGACTGTCTCTCACGAGATGCCCCCATTGGTCGCATACAGTGAGGGAAAAAAGTATTTAATCCCATGCTGATTTTGTACGTTTGCCCACTGACAAAGAAATAAGCAGTCTATAATTTTAATGGTAGGTTTATTTGAACAGTGAGAGACAGATAACAACAACAAAATCCAGAAAAACGCATGTCAAAAATGTTATAAATTGATTTGAATTTTAATGAGGGAAATAAGTATTTGACCCCTCTGCAATACATGACTTAGTACTTGGTGGCAAAACCCTTGTTGGCAATCACAGAGGTCAGACGTTTCTTGTAGTTGGCCACCAGGTTTGCACACATCTCAAGAGGGATTTTGTCCCACTCCTCTTTGAAGATCTTCTCCAAGTCATTAAGGTTTCGAGGCTGACGTATGGCAACTTGAATCTTCAGCTCCCTGCACATATTTTCTATGGGATTAAGGTCTGGAGACTGGCTAGGCCACTCCAGGACCTTAATGTGCTTCTTCTTGAGCCACTCTTTTGTTGCCTTGGCCTGTGTTTTGGGTCATTGTCATGCTGGAATACACATCCACGACCCATTTTCAATGCCCTGGCTGAGGGAAGAAGGTTCTCACCTAAGATTTGACGGTACATGGCCCCGTCCATCGTCCCTTTGATGCGGTGAAGTTGTCCTGTCCCCTTAGCAGAAAACACCTCCAAAGCATAATGTTTCTACCTCCATGTGTAGTATTCTTGAAAGAGACAGAGACTTCGTAGAGGCTACACGCTTTTATTCCAATAACACTAGTCCTCCGGACTCACTGGGGGAACAGCCCAACCACACAACCTAGGGAGGTACAGTCTCCGGCTCTATTCTCATTACTCTCCTTCCCTAGCCTACAGCTACTCAATTACTCTCCTTCCCTAGCCTACAGCTACTCAGCCCACTCAGTCCCAGCGGGGCGGCATCCTCGAGGCTTGGGATCCAGGATCTCTGGCCGCACCTCCTTCAGCTTCTGGTGAGATGGACCCCCTCCGCTCTCCGGGAGCCGTCTTATATATCCCCTCTCTCTGAGGGGCGGGGGTGTCTTGGGGCCCTGCCCCCTCCCCTCAGAGTGGTTCCAACCCCCTCTCGTCCCTGCCGGTCCGGACCGGTCCAGACCGGTACGTACCTCTCCCCTAGCTTGTGTGACCTGTGTGACCTGTGTCAACCTTGGTGTCAACCTTGACCACCACATCACCCCCCCCCCCCCTATACAGCACGCAGCTATCCACATCCCAACCCTAACTCGCGAACCAGGAATTCTGAACACGACAAGAACAATGCGTGAGCCTCAACACAACAATAACAACAACAGAACAACAAACACAACTATCCCCAATAATTTACCTCAACCCCCCTGTACACAAGAACACTGCAGACACACCACACCAATGAACAAGGTGACTCGAACACCCAGGCCCCGCGAGGAGGCAGTGTATCTGCGACAGGTCTCAGGAGAACCTGAGACCCTTCGAACGAGTCCGTGTGGTGGGTCCATCGCCAGAGGCCAGCGTTCCTTGCGGAGGGTCAGGAGGGGCCAGATGACGGGCGTCCGGCACGTCCCGAGGCCCCGGGGACAAAGCCCGCGAGCCGTCTTCCTGCTGGACAGGCGGCCGGCTCGCTTCCCGCTCCTCTGGTGAGGCCACCCTAGGTGGACTCACACCTGCAGCATCCGAAAGAGTGGCAGGGGGTTTCGGAACAACAAGGGGATCACGAGGCCCCTCCCCCAACCTGCCGGACACATCACGCGGCCGGCCCCTGCGAGATGAAGGTGTGTGAGTGCGTGGTGCGACATAGGGCTTCAGGCGCGAGGGATGCACGTACCAAGAACGCCGTCCGCACGCGACCCTAACACACTGGTCCCGAACGACCCGAACAATGTCGACCGGCCCCCTCCAGGGCCGCAGCAATTTCGATGACGTTGACAGCGGCACCTGCGGGTAGTGCAGCCACGCCTTATCCCCTACCGCCCATTTATACACCGTAACCCGGCGATTATACAGACGCTCGTTGGCCCGTTGCCTTGCCCTGGAATTTTCCTGCGCGGCCACCCTTGCCTCGACCAACTTCCGAATATTGAACTGAGCGTGTTCGGACAGTTTCGAGCGAGACGCCGCCGTCTGGACCCGCAATTGCACCTCCATGGGGGGGGTCGACATCCCTGCCGTACATTAAGTAGAAGGGCGAATAGCCCGTGGCCGCGTGAGGCGCCAACCTATATGCGGCCAGAACTCCGGGAATCCTCAGGTCCCAATCCAACTGTGTGTCGTCTACCTGATGACACAACATAGAGGTAATGGTCCGGTGTAGACGTTCGACCATACCATCGGTCTGCGGGTGGTAGGGGGAAGTCCGGACCTTCTGCGTGCACAAAAGGTCACAAACCTCCCGCAGAAGATTGGACGAAAAGTTCTTTCCCTGGTCGGTTAGCAGCCGTTCCGGGGCGCCCTTATCCAGGACATAGCCCTGGAGAAACGCCTCCGCAATGGCTGCCGCCGACTGGTTGGGGAGGGGCCAGGCCATAGGCCAACGGGTGAAATATTCAACCCCAACCAGCAGGTACTTGATACCCCGAGCGGTGACAGGGAAGGGACCCAGAATGTCAAGAGCCACCAACTCGTTAACCCGGGACACTTGAATGGACTGAAGGGGTGGGCAAGCCGCCCTAGCCGGGTGTTTCCGCCGCGCACACTGCGTGCAACTATTCTTAAAGTCTTAAAGTCACTTTATTGTCAAGTGTGTTACATGCATGACATACAACACAGATGGAATTACAGTCCTCTCTGGTCCCACGGTGCAACCAAGCAATTAAAAAATTAATCACAATTAACAGACATAAATAAACAATCGGCGATCAACACAAGATAAATAATCAAAAATTAATAAACTTAAAATAAACAACAGTCAAGAATTTTTAAAATGTAAAATATTATTTAAATAAAGTATTTAAAGAAATAAGATATTTAAACCAGTGTGGTAGTGCGATGTAGTGCAATGTGCAGTCCAGAGATCAGGATGTACGAGTGAATGTGTGTGTGGGGGATAGGGTCAGGGGGCAAAGGGGGGTGGGTGGGCAGAGGGGGGGAGTGATGGTAGAGCAGGGAGGGAGTTGAGTCTCCTGACAGCCTGGTGAAAGAAACTGTCTTTGAGCCTGCTGGTCCTGGCTGGAAGACTCCGCAGTCTCCTCCCTGACGGCAGCAGGCTGAAGAGGCTGTGAGATGGGTGGGTGGGATCACCTGCAATCTTGATTGCTTTGCTGGTGATGCGGGTGTTATAAATGTCCAGAAGAGGGGGGAGAGAGACACCAATGATCCTCTCAGCTGCTCTCACTATGCGCTGCAGAGTCTTGCGGCAGGACACGGTGCAGGTGCCGTACCACACGGTGATGCAGCTCGTCAAGATGCTCTCAACGGTGCCTCTGTAGAAGGTGTGCATGATGGGGGGCGGGGCTCCTGCTCTTCTCAGTTTGCGGAGAAAATACAGGCGCTGTTGGGCTTTTTTGGCCAGTGATGCAGTGTTGTGACTCCACGACAGGTCTTCAGAGATGTGCACACCCAGGAACTTGGTGCATCTCACCCTCTCCACTGCAGCACCGTTGATGGTTAGCGGAGTATGCTGGGTGTGCACTCTCCTGAAGTCCACGACAATCTCCTTCGTCAAAAGGTCGGCGACATCGCGCGCCATTCCCGGCCAAAAA